TGGTTTCCTTGATGGCAAAAGGGATACATGTTCAATTAGTGTCAGAGGCATAATCTTTCTTTAGTAGGAATTCTTAATCTAAGCTGGTTGTTATTAATTTCCTGATTTAAGAAAACTAAAAAAAAAACCCCAAAAAAAACCTAGTGATAGCAACTCAAAAATATAAACCCACTAAAAAATAACATTTATAGTAAATATGTAAATATATATATATATATATATATAGTGACCCTTCTCAATAACACCTAGTAATCTATTATCCATTGATTTTGTTAACTATAAAAAGAACAGTTTTCACACTTTAATATGTGCTTGACCATGGCATTTCAACATAAAAGAAAAAAATTCCATAATGGATAACTTTTTATGTTCTAATGAATGCTAAAGCATAACTGTCAGCCATAGTATTTAAATGCAAAAGAAAAAATTCAGTAATGGGTAGCTACATATAGTTTTACCTTACCAGTTGCACTCCTGATGATGATCTCAAAAAGAGATGGAAAGTACTTGGGAAATAAAAGAGATTCTCACTGTTACAGTGCATTTCTTACTTTATTTAATTGTAATATACAGAAAAATATTTATGAATATGAAAGGATTATGATAAAAATAAGCAGACATAATGTTTGTTATATAAAGGAAAAATATTAATATTAATATATATGTAAGTTCTTGAAGCCACACCAAGATAGGATAATCTTTAAAACAGGCATCATAATTTTAATTACTACAAAAGACACAAAAGTTTCGCAATGAATAAAATTATAATCTAAGGTACCTTTTGTCTGACTCATCTTCAGAGATGTATCATTGCGATAAGAAAGAATTGCTGAAAAGTCAATTTTTTTTTTCAACAACTGATTTTAAAATAACACCAACAGCCAGAATTAAAATTTTAGGTAATATCAGTGTTTTATTGAAGTTATTTGATGTATTCCAAAAAACAGCCATCTTATTTATTAGGTAAAACCAAATAATCAATCTTTGAATCCTTTACATTTGAATATAGTGATCCTTCTCAGTAACAGCTAGTAATCCATTGAGTTTGTTAACTTTTTACCTCAGCAGGTTGACAATTCGAACCTATATCATAACATTACTATCTCCTTGTTGACTTCTTTTAGCCACAGGCACTTTTGAATTGGATAAAATCCACCCTTTGGCACAAAATCAAATGTCACTTGAGATTTGTCCATGAAAATTACTTTAGAAAAGTCTTTTTATTAGCCCAATTTTGATGCTTTAAAATATTTGCTTGAGTGAGAGGAGTTTGCCAAGGAGATTTTTTTTAAAGATCCCAGTTTACAAAGTATTCTACACCTTTTGTCCTTGTTAACTCCTTCAATTGCAGCCTTTTCAAAGATCTGAGTTAAAAATGGTTGTTTCATTATAACTTGCTTTAGTTTATGTTCATCTCAAGGAAGCAATTTCTTAAAGCCTTTTCCTTTGCTTCGAGTTCTCAATTTACTTATATTTTCAAAAACATTCTATATCGTTCAGTGATGTCTGCAAAGCTCCTTTAATATTTCCAATCTGAACATTCCCTCACTCAATAACTTTGTTATTTTCTGTTTTTCATCATTTCTTAGATCCTTCCCTTTATCCATGTTTCAACATATATTATGGACAAAAAGAAAAAAATAGTTTTTATTAGATTTCAGATGTCTTAAGCTAATATTAATTAATCTGCATAATAACTTCAGTCAGTCCATTTTTGTAAATTCCAAATATCACAAAAACTAATCATTAAAAATGGCTGAAAATTTAGTTAAATATTTTACTAATGGTGAAAATGGATGAGTTTAGATTTGACAAATATTGGTTCAGAACTTTTTGAGTTATTGAAGTTTATTTGATTTACATAATAACTTTAGACAGGTCACACACACACACACACATATATATATATTTTGTGGGAAAATGAAATGAAATAAATTAATAATAATGAATAGTAAAAGAGAAAAGAAATCTATTTTCCCATGATGTTAAGAGTTAAGAAGGAAATGGAAATATGATAGGTGGCACTTCTTAAATCTATAAGGCAAATATTTTCCTGCCTCCTCTTTGCTCTAAGATGTTGAACTATGTGGTAATTATGTTCCCACAGTCCACTGACAACAGAATTCTCTTTTCACTTTCCAACACATGGGGCTTACCCGTGTCTTCCAAAAACCTCCATCTATGAAGTAATTCAAGTTGTCTCTTTGGTTGTTCCAACTCAGTGCAAGGCTGACTTGAGCATGACTATTATAATGATGCTTATACTTATTTACCCTAATTTTTGGACAAAGAAAATGAAACTAGACATCCCATAAACCTGTTTAAAACTCCCAGTGAGCAAAGTACAAACATTCTTTTAGTTTTTCCAGCTCTGCACAAGATTTGAGCTTGACCATTAATAAAATGCTTATACTAACTTATCCTAACTCCTGGACCAAAAGGAAAACAGACATACCTGAGACACATTAAGAACTTTGTTTCACCACAGTTTATATAAAAAAAAAAGGGAATAAACAGTACATGGTAGAAGCCTCAAGTTTTTTATGCTTCTTCTTAATTGTTTATCATGTGAACATGCACAAACATGCAAACTTTGTGAATCCCCCCCACATATATATCACACATTGAGTGTTGGTGTTAATAAAATAGCGCTCAGTGTAATATAACAGAGCTATTAAATCTATATTAATAAATATACATTTTTTCCTCACCAATAACATGATTCAGAATTTCATACACAATGCAATCTTCAGGTGCTGAGTAGACATCTGAAGATTGCATTGTGCATGAAACTCTAAGTTATGCTATTTGTGAGGAAAAAATGTGTGTGTTTATATATATATATATATATATATATATATATATATATATATATATACACACACACACACAAATTGGAATGGAGATATCAATGAAAAAATATTTAAATATCATTACTTATCTAAATGAAAATAAGAAAATATTTTGAGCAGTCCACTACGCCTCGAAATTCTTTTATGAAAGAAACATTTATTTAAAAATTTCAAAAATGGTCATAAAAGAGAAGTCTTTTCAAGTCAGAATTTTCTCCTCTTCAATTCAATGCTTAAGAACAATAATAATTATATGTATGAAATATTTCAGACAAAAAAAAATGTTCTGTTTTCTAACACAAGGGCTAGGACCTCATACTGGTCAACTTGAAACCTTGTTATAACAACTGAACTATGGCTGAAGTGCCTCTTAGATTTTAGCATTTTAATAGACATTATTGAGTGATCTGTAAGCTGAGGTCATTTGGAGATAAGATTTCTCCAAGTCTAATAATACATACAAAATTTCTAATTGTGATATCAAACATTATATACAGATGCTGTTAATACTATCAGAATCAAAACTGTAAGCAAAAAGGAAGAACCCTGAATGAAGAGAAGATAAGAATCCAGTTGAAAAAAAAGTATCTTATTAATTATTGAAATATTTAAAAAATAACAACGAAAGAAGTCTGGGCAATAATTAGCAAGACAGTCTCACATACCATTACTACTGTGGTGATTTTGATCTTCACTGGATATCTGACACTTGTGACTAAGTACTGTACTAAACAAACTTAGTAAATATCAATAACCAAATGAGTCTTTTCAGTTGTAGTTGTGATAGGTGGGTAGAACAATATAATTTGATTCATTGGGAAATTGAAGGCTACCTTTCAGCAAGAATACAAAATGCCTTACCTACAAAGAACATTATTATGTCTACTACTCCTATGTTTATATAAGTGTGCGTAAAAGTTTCCAGCGTAAAACCAGTTTTCCAATTGTGTATCTAGACTAATGAGCACAGAACTTTTGCATTCACTTAACATTTTCACTGCTTATAGTATTGTTGCCTGGCTGTGCTGACCTGTTTTGGGAAAAAGAAGAAATTACCATTTACTGGAAATAAATGTCTTTAAATACCTTGAAATTTGTAATAGATGCTGCCATTTTGGTTTTGATTGGATTAGACTAAGAACACTCCCAACACACAATATAATAAAAATACACCACAAAAAAAATATGTCTACACTGGTTTGGAAATTGCACTAGTATAACATAACCACAAGGTACTAAAATTTCATGGTGTGTTGAAAAAATATATTTATTACTTTTAAAGTTATTTTTAGTGGATATGCATATTTGAGTTGATGCCACATTTGTTTTAAACATTTTATCTACTGGCTTGAAGACTCACAAATTGAAGAAAATACGCCCTCTGACAGGATTTGCATCCCCCTTTGTAGAAGAAACTGCTTTTTAATCTCATATGCTTTGACCACTCTGCTATGAAGGGCTTCATAATCAGGCAAAATTCTATTTGCTTTTGAGATACATTTTACTTGTTCAGATTTTCCCTAAATTCATAACTGTCAGATTACAATATGTTGGCTTACAAATAAAAAATGCATTAATTCTTTATGAAAATATATCTGGCAATATAAGTTTCATAAAGATATAAAGTACATCTTTAAAATGTAAATATATGTTGGCAGTATGCAATGTAATTGCTTTGAAGATGTATGTCGAAAGCAGCAGAAGTGTTAATATATAATCAACATTCAATAAATACAAATTGTGATTGATTTTTTAAAATATTTCAATCTTTATTTACTTGATCATTTTAACATTTCAATCGTTATTTACTTATTCATTTTAACATTTCAATTGTTATTTACTTATTCATTTTAACATTTCAATCGTTATTCACTTATTCATTTTAACATTTCAATCGTTATTCACTTATTCATTTTAACATTTCAATCTTTATTTACTTGATCATTTTAACATTTCAATCTTTATTTACTTGATCATTTTAACATTTCAATCCTTATTTACTTGATCATTTTAACATTTCAATCCTTATTTACTTGATCACTAGAATATAAAGTTCTGAAGATGATGTGAATAAACACTGAACTGTTTTTGTCTTTGAGACACAAAGAGAGGAAAAATTTAAGAGAGTGAGATAGAATAAATGTTTACCAGTTGTCCTGGGAACAACAGGATAACCTGACAATCTGGGTAAAGTGGCTTCTTTACGAACTGAGCAGATATCATTTTTTGAATGGTCCCCATTGAGTAAAGGTACATTCTGAGCAGAGGAGGACAAGTGGTTTGATGAGCTGCAACCATTTGAGCTGGGACAACTGTCGCTCTGAAAAAACAAAACACAAAAGAAAACAACATCAAATATAATACATGGCCATAAAAAAGGTAAATTTGTGTGGTTATCTTACTACCATGTTTGTTTATATTTTGTATGTATATGCAAGTATAAGATAAAGAATAAATAGGAAATGTTTATCAATCTAACATGTTTCACTTTTATTAAAGCTTCATTTTTACTTTTGTCGTGTTTGATTTACATTGGTTAATCATGTTTCATATGCATTCGACTTGTTAAATAAATGTTAGTATAATTTGTGGCGTTCTGATTTGAGGGGGAGATGACACATCCATTCAATGTTTCAAGAATTTGGAATGCCACAAATTATGCTAACATCTGTTTAACAAGTCGAATGCATGTGATAGAAAAAAATACAAATTTTCTCATTTCTAAGGCAGATGCTTATATGTATAGTGTTCTGCAATGAAAATGGCTGTGAAAAAATTACTTTGGATAGATTTTAGTAATGCAACCTGACTTATAATGAGTCATATCTCATGCAACAAACTGCTCAGAAAAGGTTTCACTTGCCTACTTTATACTAAGATACATATACTGGAACCTCTGGAACCTTCCTGAAATCTTCTACAAGTACTACTTTTATATTATTCTCAAAGACATTCTAGCAGGGTTTCATCACAAACACCAAAGTCTTCAAGCATATAAATATCTTCAGCATTTAAGGAAAATAAAATAACATTTATTAAAATTTTGTTTGTTTCATTCTCACTTATTCGCTCACACGTTCTCACAAATAACCGTATACAAAAACAATGATTATGTATAATGTTTCTTGGATTTTTAACCTTTTGTTGATGGTAATGTTTTCAGTACTTTAAACCATCGGCTATTTCCATTAAGGAAGATCATACATGCCAACATTTTTTATGTTAGAAACAGTATATGTTCATAACACATTTTCTTTCTCTCTGGAGAAGAAATATATTTAAAAAAAAATATTTTTGTATCATCAATTGAATAAATTGCAAACAAATCACATGTAGCAATGATTATTGTATCACTAATTGAATAAATTAAAAACAAATCACATGCAGCAATAATAATTTTACATCCATAACTTCAATTTTTTTAATTATAGAAAACAATCTTAAAAAAAAAAGAAAAAAAGATTTCCTCATTTTTAAGACAGATGTTCTGTAGTGAAAATGGCTGAGGTACCTTCAAGAAAAAATTACTTTGGACAGATTTCAGTAGTACAACCTGCCATATCTCATGTAACAAACTGCTCAGAAAAGGTTTCACTTGTCCACTTTATACTAAAAGACATGTACTGGAACCTCTGGCAACTCCCTGAAACCTTCTGCAAGTACTGTCTTTATATTATTCTCAAAGACATTCTAGCATCATTTCATCACAAACACCAAAGTCTTCAAGTGTGTAAGTATCATCAATATTGAAGTAATACTGAAAAGAAAAAAGAAAATCTGTGCTGGGCAGGCCATGTATCAAGAATTGAAAACCGCTGGCTTCCAAAAACCTTACTGTTTGGTGAAATGGCCTCTAACTAACTTGATAGGGGGCTACCATGGAAGGTTCAAACATATGCTAAAAAAGATGCTTATCTCTGAAGTATCAACTATCACGAAGGGCTGTTTAGCACAAGATTTTCCAGGCAACCACCTTCACTGAATCCAACTGCAGAACAGACAAAGCAGTTATTATTCCCTGCAGTCACCAATCTTGCTCCTGTATCTACTGTAGGAAAAACTATCTGTTGAAATAGTGGCATTCCTATGACAGACATAGAGTTCCTCCAGAATTCATATAGCAATAAAATATTAGAATATTATGATGAAAGTATATGTCAGACTAAGTTTCAAGAATGTTCATATTGTCTCATCACACAGAAATGAAAAACAAAAATTGTTAAATTAAGTGACAAAGATCAATGAGGATGATCTTTAAATGTCATCATTCAATCATATTTAGTTTCATTTCGACCTCCATTAGTACAGCAGAGCATTGTCATAGCCTTAATACCACAGAGTTTTCAAACACCACATTTAAAATATTATAGATATATCATTTAGGTCTTAATTTTCTTATTATATAGGATTTTTGTAGATCATTTTTTCTGTCTTTGTTGTTTGTATCCCAATGTTTTGGCTGCTCTATTCTATGGCTTTCCTTCATTAATTATTTCTAAGCTGAGATATTGTTTCTATTATACACTGATTTTTGTGGATCAGTTTCCTTGTCTTTGTTGTTTGTATCACAATGTTTTGGCTGCTTGATTCTATGGCTTTCCTTCCTTATTTATTTGTAATCTGAGATATTGTTTCTATTATACATTGATTTTTGTGGATCATTTTCCTTGTTTTTGTATCACAATGAAAAAAAGAAAGTTTTATTTTGAAAAAACAAAAAACAAAACAAATTAAAAGGTGATTATTAAAAGTGAATAAGTTTAAAAAATTAAAATATACAAAATAGGCTTCATTTTATTTTCCATACAATCTTTTAAACCTGTTTATTATCAATCTGACACTTCAACTTTTTCCCCCATTCCAAACAATAAACAAGGTTATCTTTGTATAAGTTTCTATCACAATTTTTACAGACAATCTATACTTTACAATCATATTTATACAAATATGATGAAAACCAGAAACTCTTTGTAGTTATTTGACTAAGATATTCAGAAAGCTGCTTGACTAAACAGGAAAATCTGATTTGCCACTTGTTAAATATATATATATATATATATATATATATATATATATATATATATATAAAACACATTTTGTAGGGTGTTCAAACAACTAACAGAAGGTTAAGAAGTTTTATTTCAAAGTTATAGGAGCAAATTTTTCAAGAAAAAAAAGAAACAAGCTTCATGGATGTCATTCATGTATAGTAATATTTTGAATTTAAGAATTAAGAATATTTAACAAATAGCATGTAAAAAATTTTAGAGGCTACACAAAAGAGGATCAGCATATATCAAAATGGTTGGCTTGAGTAAAATGTTGCCAAAAGTAAAATCTAAAATACGACTAAAATTTTCAAATGTAACAGAAAACAGATCATGAAGTATAAAAAGAAAATTTTCAATCAATCACTATAGATTTGAATAATTTCAAAACTCTTTGAGCTTATATCTGCTGAAAACAGATAAATGTGAGACTTTGTAACCGGTTGTGGTCAGTCATTGAAAAAATGTCAAGTGACTCTTTACCTAAAGAGAGAAAAAAATTGACTAGAGATCAAAAGACTAACTGAAAACTGGAACTACATGCTAGTTTCTCTAACACGCTTATATTTCCTGCTCTCCTGTAAACCTTTGAAAATGTATGAACTTCCTCCATATCAATCACATGTCCATTTCTGTGACATTTCAAAAACTGTTTACTAAAAAAGATACATCAACTGAAAATCAACTTGCACACACCTTTACATACAAAATATTTGTCATAAAAAAAGTTGCAGTTTTAAATTTTGCAACAATTATTAGAAGTTTATTTAATATATTAATTATAACTAATTACTAGTGCCATTCTGTTTGTTTGTGAATACTTCAACCTATTTTAAATATTACAATAGTTTTCGTAGTTGAAGCAAGAGACACACACACATTGGCTTTCCTCAAAACTGACAATGGATACAGTGGTCATTTTTGTTGCCACTGCTTGAGTGGTCCTCTTATATGGCACCAAATACTGGACAATCTATTCATAGATGAAGAAGAGTTTTGATGCAACAGACATGTGATTTGACAAATTTTCCTAGCAGTTTAAATAGGTCTTTGTGCTGTTCCTTATAAATTGTTTTTTGTATAGTCTATTTTAGAAGAATAAATCAATAAGATTGAAGTTTCCATTGATAAAGCTATATTCCATTTCAAACTATTGAGCAGCACTGGACATGACTACTTAAATGGGTGACTGTTAGAAACACCAGGTACTGAAAGCAACATGTGGCCTTGTGCCAGACTAAGCTATACTTAGTAAAACAATGCTTCACTATGGAGCAGTGGCTTATATTGGTTACAGGGCTACCAGTTGTGGATGAATTGTTTACCATATGACATTGTCTGTTACCACCATATATCATTATAATTGATTTGTGTGCATATTGGCCTTGTGTAATGATTAAAAGAAAATGCAGTGTTGAAAAATACAAAAGAAGTCTTTATATAACACAATATAATGATACAGAAGGATAAGGTGAAAGTTGAAGTTTCAAGAATTCAAGTGTGCATTAGAGAGAGAGAGAGAGAGAGAAAAAGTCAGGGTGTATATATAAGGTGTGATGGGTAAATTGTTGCCATTTTATATTTTTAATTTCATGAATGTGCATTGTTTGCTTTTGATTTTGTTGACTGCACAGTATAGTAGGCTCAGTTGGGCACCGTCTGTGAGAAAAAGAGCACCATGATGCAATTCACTCTTTGAGGAGGTAGTGCTGCTCTGAGTCAAGAGGGTGGCTAGAAGGCCCTCTGTCTAGCAACAAGCAAGGAGAAGCCAGTCATGGCTGTCAGACAATTTCTGTGACCACATCACTCCTTACACTTAAATCCCGAGAATGCAACTCCCTCGATTATTATATGTGGGGCACAGTTGAGTGAGAGACCAACAAAACACCTTGTAAGACCAAAGATGAACTGAAGGCAAGGATTATGGCAGCATTCACCAATGTAATCAAGGACTGTCAAGAAGAGTTGCAGGAAATTCTGAAGGACATGATTGTAGCTAATGGTGAATTATTCAATAAATTTACTCTTTAGTATTTCAAGATATTTTTGTGTAAATATATGTTAAAATGAGATGTCAGTGTTATTTTCATTTTTGTGTAATTTGGATGACAATTTATCCATCGCACCCTGATTGTATGTATCCAAATGTAGTAAATACCACTTGACCACATAGTGAAGGATGGTATGTTTGTTTCCAATCTAGTAACGATGGTTTAGCCATCTAAGCTCACCAGTTAGTTGTGCAAATGTAATATTTTGTCTCTGGAAATGT